GGGTGGCTCCAGGAGAGCGAGGGACTTCTGATTCTCACGCCTTTCCCCCTCCGTGGACCAGCTCCCTCGTGGCGGCCCCAGTCCAAGGACCCTCGTCTCCCTCTTACGGACCCCCCTTCTCACCACCGCCACCAGCAATAGCCTCACCCCGCCTGGGGTTTCAGAGCCGCCCTTGCCTGCTTGTATGATGAACTGCAGGACGAGCGGGGACGGGTAGGTTGTGGGAACCCAGCTAACGGTAATGTTATTATGCACCTGGCCCCTCTCAAAAGCATATTGCTTTCGTGAAGACGCTGCTTTTATGCCGAGGTCCCTAGGCTGCGTCCACCAGAAAGCTCGAGCTGTCCCTAACCCGCGAGGCACACACCTCTCCGGAGTAGCTCAACTCCCCTCTGCTCCTTGTGTTCTCAGCTGTGAAGAATGGTTAAGGGCGGGACTCCCGTCCCTTAACCTGGACACAGAGGGGGGCGAACGCCCTAGCAATGCCACAAGAAACAGAAGCTGGTAGGATGCTGCTCCACGTTCGGGCTGCCAGAGCTGGGGGTTCGTTTGCGTGCTCCTGCACGAAGTGCGGGTGTTCCTCGCTGGCCTCTGGTGTGGGCTCTGATGAAGTCGAAATCCTACATTTTCCTCCACTGGTGATTCGCTGTATTTGTGCGGTTCTTAGAGGGCTTCACGTGCACGCGGCACCACTGACTATCCTTGGGCTTGGGCGAGTATTTCCATGCCCGTCTGGCTATGAGATTTTAAAAAATGCTAATTTTACGATCGCAGTGATCAGCCGAGGAAAGACAGTACCACCATCCTGAGAGAATGACCCAGTGAAAATCTGGAGGAAAAGCCCACGCTTGGTCTTGGCCTGGACTCCCGTCTCTCCTGGGTCCCCAGTCTCTTCATCCCATCAGTAAGCAGAGGTACGACCGTCAGGTGGTCATCCATAGGCTGGCTACCTCCCACTTGGCCGTGACCTTTACTATAAACACAGGGACTTGGCTTTGTCCGCCTGTGTTCCTGAAGAGAACCTGAATCGTAGTGGTGTCCGATGCGTACTTGGTTCACGAACGACTAACCTAAGAACTGTTCAGGTCTAAACGCCCTCGACAACCCTGGGTCTTTGGTGGGGGAGCGTGAAACTTTCATCTTTCCAGATTAGGTTGTAGAAAAATGTCCCTTTCTTAGTTTAATCAAGCTTATTTTCAGATCTTTACAGTTTTTTTAATGTTTATTTATTTTTGAGAGACACAGAGACAGACTGCGAGTGGGTCAGGGACAGAGAGAGAGAGGGAGACGCAGAATCCGAAGCAGGCTCCAGGCTCCGAGCTGTCAGCCCAGAGCCCGATGATGCGGGGCTCAGACTCACGAGCTGTGAGGTCGTGACCTGAGCCGAAGTCGGACGCTCAACCCACCGAGCCACGCAGGCACTCCTATTTTGAGATCTTTAAATGATGCTTTTCTCCCACGAGATCATGGAAAAACGCTGTAGATACATGAACGTGTAGGGACAATTGTACCAAAAGTGCGACTCTTCTACTTCAGGCCAACTACTGTTTCTTGTGTCGTTTGCAGGCCAGGAAGTACCTGGGTGCCCCCATTCACTTCCGGCCTTCCTCTAAGCATCCCAGTGCACAGGCCATCTACACCCGGTCTTGGGCCTGGACTCGTGAGTTGCTTTGCCCTTATGAGTGATAAGGGCAGCGACCGTGTCCGTCCTGCTCAGGGCTGTGTCCACAGTGTCTGGCCCACTCCTGGGCGCAAGAACAGATCCAACAGATCCAGTTAGAGAAGGAAACCATAGCATGTTTGGTTCAGCGAGGATCGTGAATGCGACCTAACAGATCCTGGCTGAGTACCTTCTCCGATGCCTTTTAAAATCCTCACCACAGCCCTGCCAGGTAGAGATGGTCAACTCTGCCGACTTAGGGAAAAGCTAAAATGCTACGAGAACCGCATCTCACCGCGCAATGCCACATTGATAAGACGGGTCTGTTTCTCTTTCTCGTTATAGCCCGGAGCGGGTGTTCTTGGTTGGGAAGCCGCTCCGTTCCACATGGATGTTCGGGAACCCGGGTGCGTTCCATCTTGTACCTGTACCATTCCCCGGTGTGGCGCTGCTCACAGGGCTGTTCTGCGAGGAGCCGGCACCAAGATGTAAATCAATGCACTGCTTCCTTCATCGAGAACATCTTACCACGGGGGAAAAATGTCAGCTGAGCTGAACAGTGTGTTAGTGATGGAATTGCATTGCGTTCCAGCACGAGCTCTCTATCGCGCTGTAGATGAGTAACAAACGAGTCAGGGATGAGCCGCTGGGGCATGGACCACACTTCCTTAGTACCGGCCTAGCGGACTCTCCTTGACTCCGTGGCCTGGGCTGCAAGGCGGCAGGAAGGGGAAAGTGAGGAGGCACGGCCCTCTCCCGATACGCCAGCCCACACGCAGCGATTCCCTCTTCCTGTCCTGTTTCATCGGCAAAAATGCAGCCCCAGGGTCGCGGGGAAGCGTAACAGAGACTGGGAGTTGTGACGGTCAGCTGCTTGGCCCCGATGGCACCTCGGTGGACAGCCACCAGAACCAGCCTAGTGGACCTCGGGTGTGAGGAGAGCCTTGCAGATTGTATTTAATAAAGTAAAACAAAATCCTACAAGGCTGGCAAAAAGGGGAATGTCTCCATGGACAGGAAAGACTGGACCTGTCGCCCAGCTCCTCTGCCCCAAGGATCTAGATCCCTTAGGGAATCTCTTACTATCTACTATGATCAGCACCCTGGAGGCTCAATGGGGTGCGATACTCTCATTCCTCACTGGGGCCCAAATTAGGAACATTCAATCTAATCTTTGCAAAGGGATCTTACCATGTAGCTACTTGCACGGAAGTTTTGGGCAACAAAACAGGCACGGCGTGTCAGTGGCATTAACTTTTCACGTGTGGCCCAGGGCAGCTCCGTTGATCCCACGTCGGCCCTGCTGGTCTTGGCTCCTGGCCAAGGTTTGATTTAATTCTTCTCCGCGTTTCTCTCACCCTCTGAAACCAGTGGGCTAGCCAGAGTATATTCTTCCGGCAGTGGCAGAGACAACATACAAGCTCTCTTAATGCCTAGACTTAGAACTCACACAGTCATCTGTCTACCCGGCATGCCATGGGCCAGAGCAAGTCCCAGGGCCGTGCCCAATGTCTAGATGCAGGGAGGCCCTGTTCCCCATGAGGCAGCGGTGTGAGTGTGGATGTAAAGAGGGGGACCAGGGCTGCCCGGGTGGCTCAGTCGGTTAAGCCTCCAACTCTCGGTTTCGGCTCGGGTCACGATCTCATGGTTTGTGAGTTCAAGCCCTGGCATTCCTGTGGGAGACGGGCAGGGCCACACCCCTGGGTGCTCTTCTCTCCACCCCCAGCTGGCATTTTCCAAGGAATTCCATGGCTGTTTTCCACCAGTGGGCTCTCTACTCCACAGGGGGTGAAACATACGTCTAGGTTTTATGGGAGCTAGGACTAACCCCAATCCTAGAGCCGCTGCCCATGAAGTATTCCCTCCTCGCCACTTCTGTTGCATTCTCCATGCTGTGGACTGGCATTCCTGCCCACTCATGGGTCACCATTCCCATGCAGCTTCTACCCGCTACGGGAGAGTTATCCGCCACCACCCCCGACCCCGACCCAGCACCTGCTACAGGGGACAACTTTTCACATGGCCTCCTGTCTTCCACCTCTGCTAGAAACTGACTCCACCTCTCAGTTTCCTGATTCCCCGTTTCCAAGAGAGAAATGTGATCAACTTGGCTCATTATTTGACCCAGTCACACCGCTTCTAGAGGAGTGTGTCCAGAATGTCCAGGCAACTCCTGTCAGGGGCTAGGAACACACGGGGACATCGGTGGCAGGGTCTGCGTGGAGCAGGGCAGTGTTCCCTGAAAAGAAAGGAAGATTAACACCCAGCGTGTCATACACCATGACCCTTGTCCCCAGGTCCTCAGGTCCACGTTGTCTTGCGCCTAATATTCCATGATGTGCATTTTTCCTTTTAGCTTAGTGACTCCCAGATATTTCACCGCCATGGGCATTTTTTCTTAATTTCTCCCATCGAATTCAGATTTCGAAGCAGATCACATTGTCAAGATTTCCCATTTTCACTCATCGAGGGCCATAGGAACTGTCCATCAGAATTTCTAACCATGTGGATTGACATAAGCAGTATTACCACACAGGATCAACGAAATTCCAGCTTAAATCGGTGCAACGTTAGTTAGTTAATCTTTTCAGCTTCGTCAAGAGTCAAGGTGTGTTTTTAGGGCGACTTTTTGAAATACGGAAACAGGTCCCATCTCTTTCATTGCCCCTCCCCCCCCCACTGTCCAGGTTGGGAGTCTCTTCTTAAGGGGTAGGGGCTACGTTTGCTGTAACGGGTCACGTACATATTGGTGTCTGTGGCAGGCTTTGAGGGCAGATCTTGCTGTGGTGAGATGCCCCAGGATTTCCAGGCCCAGGGCCGAACGACGGAAGAAGGCTGAGAGGCGAGATGGCCAGCAACAGGGCAGTTGTGTGCCCAGTGCGCGTGGGTTCTCATTCAGCCTCAGCCACGCAGGAGCCACTATGTGACCTCGGGCCAGTCACCTAGCGTTCTTCATCTGTAAACGGAGTTGTTGTTAAGGGGGTCAAATGAGGTCATGTGTATCTATCGACGGGCAGCTGCTGATTTATTTTAATCATGGAGAAATATAATTAGGGCAAGCTAATTTTTATCTGACGTCGTGAGCTTCAAGGAAGCAGTAACTTCCTTGTTCAGGGCCTCACCCGATCTCCCGTGCTGTTTAGATCCCCTGAGGGGGCAGGTAATCATAGAAGTGATAGCTGCCACTTAGTGGACACCTCTGATGGACCAGGCGTTGTGCCTGGTTGTGTGTACCTTCACTCGTGTGGCCTTCACAGCTGTCCTGTGACACAGATGTCACTTACCCCGTCTTACAAATGAGGAAAGTGAGGGCCAGCAGAATGAAATGACTTGTCCAATGACCAGATGGTAATTAGCAGAGCCAAGAGTCGACTTCAGATCCATCTGATTCCCAAGCTCTAAGTGTGCTAAGTCTGGTAAAAATGGATTTCTTTGTAGTTCCAGAACTTTTCTGGGCTTTGACAAATTTCATCACCCAGAAGGCATCAACAGCATCCTAAAAATAATTTTAGAAGAGACGCTGGGGATACTTTTGAGAGGCCTTTGGGTGAAATCTCACCGCAGACTCCTCTGTTTGCTTGTCAGCTGCCCGCCCTCCCTCCGCACACCCCGCCTCTAGAGTTTTGCACATCGCCTTCCAACTTATGCGGGGAAGTAGGCAGAAGCGGTGGGAGCATACACACTTGCTTTCTGGAGAGGCTCGGAGTTTTGGCTACAGCAGGGACGGCCGGAGTCTCAAAAATCTAGCCCACCACGTCTGAAACCGAAAATATGTTTCTGAGATTTTTCTACTTGAACATACATAGTACTGGGCGATCCTCCTTGAAATCCAGATATTCCTGGCATTTCACTGGTTACCTTCCGCGGTCTTCCGGGCCCCCGGACAGATGGGGCCCTTACCCCAGACTCCAGACTGACAGTTTATTTGCTCCAGGGTTTCTCAACCTCGGCACTCTTCAGACTCGGGGCCGGATAACTCTTTGTTGTGTGGGCCGACCTGGGCCTGGTAAGATGCCCATGAGATGCGAGTACCATCCCTCGGTTGTGACAACCAAGGTACCTGTAGACATTGCAAATAGGCCCATCACAGGCGATAATCATCGCCAGCTGAGAACCTCGGGTCTAACTTAACTGCTCCCTCACCTGGTGCGCCTCGTGTTCCCACTTGAACACCTCCAATGCTGGAGAACTAACGCGATCTCCTCTTGGGACAACACTGACGTTGGAAAACTCTTCCTTATCGTGAGGGTTTCCGGCTCCGCCCCCCCCATCACGTGGTCCTATTCTGCCCTGCCCAGTCCTTCCGACACACCCTTGCGCGCTTCCCAAGCTCATCAGGCCTGCCCTAACTCTTTCCTACGCGGGATATTCCCTGTGCCATCCGTATGCCCCAAATGCAACGGTTGCTCCTCCCCTCCCCAATCCTCACTGACCTGGACATCCTCCAGTGTGACTGTGTCCCCTTTAAACGTAAGAAAGCGCCAGACAGAGGTGCTGCTGAGGGTAACCATGAAGGAATCACTTGCTTAGATCAGCCCCAGAGGGAGCTGAGCATCGGTCAAGGGATGTGGTGGGCAAGAGGCACTCTTTTCCAGAACTTTCCGTAGATATATGCTTACGTCACTTGGCCAGAGTATGAGATGCTGCCCATTTCGGGCCAACTCTGGCTGGAAGGCTGGGGGGCTTCAGACGTTACCCCCACACACACACCGCAGACTGTGTAGAGGTGAGCACTGAGGCTGTAGGAGGGAAAGTTCTGAGCCTGAGCAACTCTGGCTCTTTCTTCTAAGCATCTATCCACAGAGGCTATGCTCCCCACCCTGTCTCTCTCCTGGGATATTTGCAAGGACAACAATAAAAAAGACCGTGAATGTGAAAGCGCTTTCTAGACAATGTGAGAAGCTGACCGCGTCAACGTAGAGCATAGTTCTCTCCGAACCATCATCCCCCCGCCACTCCCCTCTCCCCCACCAGCTGGCTTCTCCTGGTCATGGTCTTTCAACTCTAGCCAGGCAAAGTTGCAACTGAGTTTAGTAGTGAGTTCCTAAGAAAAATATTATTCAGGAAAGTCTCTGAAATGCTATTAGCTTAATCTGATTTGACTTATCAAATCAAGGTACATCTATCTGTCTCTCTTATGCTCCTTCTCAACGGCGCCTAGCTCTGTGGCACCCAGGTATTCAGACCAATACATCACAGTATGATGGGAACAAGGGTGCCTGGTGGGTCAAGTGCACACACGGAGCCTACCCACACGGCCTCTTGGGAACGCCGGCGAAGGAGTGGGGCCTGGCGCAGAACCATGTCTTGTGGCTTGCATGGCATTTCTGGAAGCCTGCTGACCACAGTGATGAGGAGAATAACATCAACTCAAATGAATTAGGTGGAAGCTACTTGAAATGATTGATCACAGCACCTAATATTATCATAGCGT